GGCTAATGTGGAGAAGCGTCTAGAAGGATGCTGAACAGAGGACAAGGCTCACGGGCCAGGGCAGGGCTTGACTGCTGCGTCCTTACCCTCCACAACGCCCACACCCACACTGCTCCGCCGCGTGTTCATCGGGGCCACAAAGAACCACTCGTTGGTCTTGTAGCTGTAGGCTTCCACCGACGCCAAGCCTGGGAGACAAGAGACGCGTGAGCATCTTCTGGCACCAGGCCTCACCCTTCCGCGCTGGGTGAGGCTGGAGGGGGAGACCAGAGCTGGGGCGAGAAACCCGGATGATGGCTGGGTGCCACCACTGCCTCGTGGGTGCTCCGTGGCAACTCCCTTAACCATCCCTGCAGGGCACTGACCTACGGGCACACGAAGACGTGCCTCAGAGGCTGGCTTGTCACCTGTACACCATTCAGCCCACCCAATGGGACACTTGGACTTTGCTGCGGTCAGAAAGCTGAAACTCACTTTCCCAGACTCCGTGGCAACCGGAGTCAGTGAGACCTGAGCAAATAGCCTTTGCATCTCTGGTAGGGATGCCGTATTCCCACCCCACTCCCACCTGACCCTGCTTCCTCCTGCCTCGAACAAAAATGTGTTGGGTGAGAGCTAACAGGCATCTTGTGACCAGGAGGAAAAGGGCAAAGAAAAACGGAAAGGACTGGAGCGTTCTGGAGCGTCTGCACCAAGTTAGCAAGTGCTGGCCTCTCGACTCCTTGCTTCACGAAGGAAACAAAATCCCGTTTGCTGGAGCCAGCATCGGGCCAGGGTTTCTACGTGCTGCGGCCAAAGCAGTTACGGAGAGAAACAATGCCTCACTGCCTTCTTATTCGCTTGATTCTCAGGTCCTGCTCACCAAGGGCGGCCTCCAAACCAATAACCACCCTCGGTGCTGTCCAGTCCAGTCCAGCTCCTGGGGACCCCAGATAGGACGGAGTAGAACTGCCCCTGGGGTCTCCACCAGGGCTGGAATCCTCACAGAAGTAGGCTGTCACGGCCGTGCTCCTGCAGGGGGGCTGGAAGGTTCAAGCCATTGCTCTTTTTGATTAGCCCTGAAGGCCTTAAGCATTTTGTCACCAAGGCTCAAGGCAGCCTCAGAAGGGGCTAAACCAAGCCCTCATAGTAACCCTGTCAGAGAGCAGAGCTGACCCAGGGCCGAAGACTCGGAAATGACGAGGGGGTAGAGACGGGCTACTAGGAGAGGTCACCAGTTTATGAGAGCACAAACTGAATGGTCAGAGAAGTTAAGGACATTCTTCTTCCACCCCTGGAAACCAAAGGATATCATATTCGTTTACCAGAGTCACTGTCTGTGGAGACATCTGCCAGGAGATACGGGCAGAGACAAGACACTTTCTTTGAACGCAGTGTCTGATTCGAATTCTGAAGCATTGCGGTAGTCACCTAATCTGGTGGCAATTTAAGGGTTAAGAGGGTAGGGGTGGAGTCTAGGCTGACAATCTGGAGGTAGCCAATGAGACCTCTGTATGGGCATGGCCTTCTGAGGGAGGAAGTCAGTGTCTGTCTGTCTGTCTGTCTGTCTCTCTCTCTCTCTCTCTCTCTCTCTCTCTCTCTCTCCCCTACTCTCTGGGAGGCACTGCAGAAGACAAGCCACATGGACGCAACCAGGCCTCGGAAGTTGGAGAAGCCAGAGAGAGACTCCTGCCAGCGCTGAGATGCTTACAACGCCACTGGACACAAAGACTTTCTACCCACTGGCTTGTGATCGTCCTGCATTTGGCTTCATTGCATGTGTTTCATGAATCTGAAGAGGACTTTATAAATTGGTATCGGACATATGGGCTAATATCAGGCTTATGGCCTTGGACTGGATTGGGTTGGGATGTTTTCTCAATGTTCAATCGCTCTTGTATATAAATCTCTTTCTTATACACATGAGTGTGTCAGTGGATTTGTTTTTCTAATCTACCCAGACTAACACAAGCATCAAATAGCCAGGGGCACAGAGAACTCTCCCAAAGTCCTTAAGCAACTGAGCCAAGTTGTAAACTGCTGACCTCTGTCCTTGCTGCTTCATGAATAAACTGCGACAGCCTTGGCGACCCTAGGGAGGTCCACTCTGTCCAATAAGGTCTCTGTGAGGCGGCAACTCGACAGCAGTGGGTCTGGTTGTAGGTCTGGAGGCTGCCTCCTGAGGAGTCGTGCAGTGGGCAGACTCGGGCAACTCGGTCTGAACTAGGATTCTCCCCCCAAGAGAACTCCTGTTCCAGCCTCTGCCCAGTGCAGGGTTGAGACTAGAATTCTAAAACACCTTCCAGATCAACATGTTCTCTTTCTAAGTCTCTTCTTGTGAGCAAAGAGGATCGCAGACCCTGGAAATTAGAGCAAGAACTCTCTGAATGGCGGGTTCTTCCTCAAGCCCTTGGCATCGCAGCACACGAGCAGTTCCGTGCTGGAAGCCCTGGGTCTGGTACCCAAGCTGGGCAAAGAGGGAGGAGAGGTATGTTCCTGAGAAGTCGTTTTGAAGTTACAAGGAGGGTGTGTCCCAGGCCGGGCAGAGTCTGGCTTCTGTGCTGGACCTACCAGTGCTCCCATCAAAGCCTCCCACTGCATAGAGCAGGTCGTTGAGCACGGCTGCCCCCAGCGTGCTCCGGCGCTCCTGCATACTGGCAATGGATGTCCACTGGTCCTTCACGCCGTCGTACACATCCACTGTCCGCACTCGCA